CAGGTCCAAATTGCAGGCACCAAAATGTTGCTGTCAAGATGCCCCAGCTCTCGTTAAGGCCAACGGAGAGCTGCTCAGTACAGCCAGTGGGGTCTGTGGTGGGATTCAAGTTACTGTGAGGCAGCACTTGCCTTTGGCCAGCTGAATCACTCCCCGGACACCACTGGCATGTAGACACCAGCACTTGGACACCTACGTGCAGTCTGGATCTGAACTGTACTTCCCATCTCATGGCTTTGGATGGGTGTCATGCCAACACACAGTAACACATCCCCTGTGGGCTCCTGTTTGCAAAGTGTGGGTGAGCCTTGGAGCGGAGGCTTCCTCTCTCCACGCACCGCCTGCCCACCAGCAACACTGGGGCCATAATCTGAACTGGGACCTGGACATGCTTCTGCGGTACAACCCAGGAGAGCAGGGCATGCCAGGACTGCGTGGGGCTTTGGGCAAAGTTGCTGGGTGACTCTTTGTCTCCCGGAACCTCTTTGTTTTCCAGGTGTTGCTGCTATGGCAGTGGCTGGCTGTCAACCCCACACAAGGTGATTCCAAGGTGAAAAGGGTCCTGGAAATCCTCATGCATACACAGAATCCATCCAAATGTCTAAGTCCCAAGAATGGCTCATGCTTTCCTCCCAAGAAAGGGCATTGAAAGCTTCCCACTCCTCGTCCTTGAAAGGAAAAGCATGAGGTGTTTTTACTGATGTGCCAGAAAGCAAAGTTATATCCATCTAGTCCTTCCCAGGAGGGTTGTTACTGGTAGCAGTGATGTTGAAAGCACTTTTGAGTGAAATCCATCTCCACATTTTACCAGGAAATTTGTGTTGAAATGGCTAAGGACAAGGAGTTGAAAGCTGAAAGACCCTCTTTGTCCTTTTTGGCAACAGAATTTACTTCATGAGGAGGAAAGAGGCTATTGAAGAAAATTAGAAGAGAAAGAAATAATATATCCTGCTGCTGCAACTCCATGGATTAATGGCAAGAGCTGGAATGTCAAAAATTTATACCCAAAGGTTTCACCACGTCACCGCCGCACACAGCGTTTATTGTGCCGTTTGCTGCACTTGTGTCACCAAAACCTCTTGTCTAGAAAAACAATGTTTTCCTTAAAGTTCAGGAAGTATTTGACTAAAAAGTATTCTTTCCATCATCGGTGTTTTCCAGCTATAGTGTCAAATGGGGAGCTATAGTGGGAACATACAGCGCATTAAAACATTCTAGAAAGAAGAAACAGCCCCTGGAGGAAGGGATGAAGCAAACTGAGAGAAGAAGAAAAACCCTTTCCACAACCCAAAGCAACTCATTTGCAAAGAGGGCAGTATCTCATCTGCGAAGAAGAATAACAAGAGGCTTGCCAGGACAGCAAGACTTTCTTAATGACCAGGATTGTATCTGAACTATTCTCATATTAAAAAAAAAAAATTCTGAACTTCAGACAAGGAACATCAAAGCCATCCGACAAGAAAAAATTATTTTGGTAGAAGCTGCTTCTAGCTGAAGTACCATGACCTTTGAAGGTCTGAAAAAGCCTTGAAACAGAAAAAGCTGGAATGGATTTCTAAGGGTTATCTCCTAGCAATCATGACACTTTTTAATCTTGGTTTCTCCTACAGTCTTCTCGAAGCATCTCATTCTTTCTGCCTGTCTTCAGTTGCTAGCTGGATAGTTGGGTTTATCATCAAACAAGATGGATTACTGAGATGAATTTGGCTCAAGGTCTCATGAACAGAGAGATCACTGTGACTCAGTGAAGCACTCTACAACCAAACAGAAACTAAACAGCCTTCTCTAAATTTTAATACAATTTCAACAGAAAAATAGACACCTTCTTCTGTCAGTAAAGTGCCTCTTTCACATTCTGCAGTATCAGGGTCTGAGTTGCACTAAATGCATTTGCAGTGTATACAATTAAAACATTGCACACTTTCACAGAGAAGAAGTTCAACTGACCAAAATTTCAAAGACTAGGAATGTAAATCCAGGTTAAAATACCTACTACAAAAACAGGCCTGATTTTCAAATCCACTCATCCACCACTTCTTCCCAGTGACTTTAGTAGGAGCAACCCATTTAAAAGTCAGGCTACTCTTCTAAAGCAAGCTTTCAGGTAGATTTAGGATCACAGATTTACTTTTGAAAACCATCCGGTGTTGGCTCTATCTGTGCTCGGCTTTAGTTCCATCACTTGTTTTTGCTCAAATAACACAAGATACAGTAGCACTTACATTGGGTGCCAAATTTAGACATACAACCATAACGACATAATCTAAGCATGTGTCTAACATTTAGCGTAAGTGCTGTTCGTGTCTTCCAGCCAGTTTCCCTAAACCAGGAGGGGAGCCAGCGAGGGTAATATAACCCATGGATGGGTGTTCTTCAGAAACAACCAGCATGAAAATGTAGCAAAGCACCCGTTGTGGCTCAGACTCTGCCAGGAGCCCAGTGACTCCTTCCAGCTCCACCCAGCATCACTTGACTTTCAATCAATGGTTTCAAACTTTGTGAAATTACGTCACTGTAGGTGACCAATGGATCGCAGTCACCAGTGGGCATCAGAGACCCAGCTGCCGTAAGGACTGCACTGTAAGTATGGCATGTCTCTGTTACAGAGTTTTACAAATGCTAAGTTTTCTAGTAGCATGACCACAATTACTAGATATCTTTGGGGCTTTATTTTTTGGTGGTAAGAGATGGTAAGAGCGAGAAGAATAACAAGAGTCATACCAAGTAAAGATGTAATTTTTTCAATTTCATTTTATATCTATCCATAAGACCTCACTCTAGTAAAAGAATAGATCTAAACTAGCATCAGACTTGTTAGCCATTAGTTCTGCACTCTTAGAGATGTCTGCAGAAACCCAATGACTATTATTTTGATGACAATTGAAAGAGTGTTTGCAGACTTGTGGAACAAAATTATATAATTTAGTCATTTTCTGTGAGATAATAATGATGCTCTAATTGAAAAATGTAGTCTGATGTAATTATCCTACACCTTTATAAGCCTGCCTCAGGAGTGCAGTAAAAGAACAAATGGGAATATTTTTACTGTACCATGTGATAAAAGGCTCTCAAAGTTTTATTTGTATCACTTGATGCATGTTCAGGAGACAGAAGCCTCACAAAAGCAAAATGATTTCCTGATTTGGTCTGATAACCCCTTGGGGCAGGATCCAAAGGAAGCTTTAGCCACATAAACCAGAGACAGACTTCAAGGCAGGACTCAGGCGTACACATGGGTGCCCCATGCCCTGGTATGCGTTGGGATATCTCCCCCAGCTTCCACCTGCAGCTCCCAAAGGACATAGGTCTCCTATGTGTTATCTTCTGCCAGACCATCTGCAGATAGGTTATACATTTCTGAGTGTCTAAAATGACACTGGATGCTTCTGTTTAGGCACCTGGGTTGCTTCCTCCATGTCAGTCAAATTTGTTTTTCTAAGGAGTTTTCCAGCTGAACCCTGGCAGGGCAGGAGGGAAGAAGAAATGACTCCTTGTTTCTCCCTGCCCTGGGTTGCTGCTCCTCCTCTGCCATGTTTTCAAGTGCAAGTCTTCTTTTGCAAAGAAACCAGTCTGAAATTGCTGTGCAGGGCAGTCTGCCTCCAGGACAGGCTCAGGCTCTGGATCCACGGGGCAGGACAGGACATGATCATCTGTGGTTTCCCTGTGGGTTAGCTATAGGAGATCCATTTTTGCACATAGGTTTCTGGGACTGTCCTTCTGTCAAACAGTCATCCCTGTGCCTGCTACAACAGCACATTAGCTCTGGCTCTTCGATTCCACTGCAACACCAACACTGACTTGTAAGCATCTATGTCCTCCACATGGCCCTCTGGCTGGTTTTGGGAAGATATCGTAGCGTACAATCTGAAAGCTGCCTCATCCTCATGTCGCTAACAGTAACACTGGGCAGAGTGAAAGCCCATATGGCTTCCTACCACCTGCAGCAGTGCAAGTGTTGGGTCGAGCAGGGCTACGTCAGAGCCCATGCAGTGCAGTGGGACACTGGATACGTGCACAACTTACCTAGGCTGCAGAGGACCTCACCTAAAATATCATTAATATGTTCCAGGCTAATGAGCATGGCAAAATTTGCTAAGTAGAAGCAACAATACCTTCATTTCAAAGAAGAGACAGTGTATTTGAGGTTGTTAATGGGCTGGCAGCCGTTGCTGCAGCTTACAGGGATGGCTGGAACTGAACTGCCGTTGCCCTAATTGCTTCCAACTGCAATCCCAGGGAGCAGAAATTCAGCACGTCCTATTTACTGACATTTCTGCTGTGAATGAAGAGGAACTGCCAACCCGGGAGCCCCACAGAAAGTGCAGGGAGAGCGGAGCCCATGTCAGGAACCCCTTTGGTGGAGAAGAAATGGCTGCTGCTTCAGCAGCTGCTCTGAAACTCAGGTAATAACAGGCTCCTGGCAATTAGTTTTTGGCACATTTACTCACCTAATTTTTCTGGCCTTCTAGGCACGTGGTGTGGTACCACTAACCCCCCCAGATGAGACAGTCCAGCTGGGCGTGCACACCACTTGTTTTGGGGATCCTTCTCACACTGAGCAGGGACAAACTGGTGGGCCCAGGAGCTCCATGAGAGTGAAGCTGTAGATCGCTGCCTTCCTCTTTTGCCCCCTCCGACCTCCCAGGGAAGCCCCAGCTGTGGGAGGAAGGTTCAGGAGTCAGGAAGCAGGATGAGGAGGAAACAGCAGAACCAAAATTCTCCTGTATTCACCCAAAGTCCCCCAGCAGGTCCCCCCTGCAGCTTGCCATCCATGAGAGCTCATCCAAGTTGTTGTGAAGGAGCCGTCCACCCTCTGGCCTGTTCAGTGACTGCAGAGGTGGGGAGAGGCAGGAGTTGGCCAGATGTCACTAGAAGACTCCTTGGCCATACCCAAAACACTGGGGAAGAGGATAGGGCCCTGCCAGCACCCAGCTCAGCTTTTGAGGAGGGAGGAAGCCTGGGACAAGGAGGATCTATGCCTCCAGCACAGCAAAGGTGTGATGGCGGTGTCACACGCTGGTGGGTGCAGGGGCTTGAGGGGCGGCATGCTTGCCAGGGTGCATGGGAGGTCTTGCAGCTTGGGCTGTCTGTCCATCCTGTCAGCATGCCCTGGAGCTGTCGTGCAGGCATGGTGCACTCCCCGCCTTCTCATTCCTCATGCAGAGCAGATGCATATTGCCATTAGCTTCATTGCATCTGCAAAGGCCCCTGGGGCCTTTCCTGACTACAGCAAGGGATAGGCAGGCTCATAATATATTAATTATCAAGAGGGTTTTATTTATAAGGCAACCTACTCCCTGCTATGGAGCTGGAGGCACTGTGCAATAAGTCACAATAAATCTAATGAAATGGTATAAGTAAGTAACCAGCTTTAATCCTAGCTGTAGAATTATTAGGTAGATTAGTGACCAGAAAATTAGATTTTTGTTTTCTCTTCATTTTTCAAGTTTCATGTGATTCTGGAAGCTGTAATTTTTTGGGGGGAGTCTGTGAAGGGGCAGGAGACATAGCCAAGGGTCAGAGAGATGAGAGTGCCTCGAGCACCGGAGGGAAAAGGGCAGAGGTGTCTGTCCTTCAGATTGGGACCCGCTGATCGGGGCCAGGGGGAGCAGCGCAGTGCCAAAGGCTGGTCCTGGCACAGCCCCTCACCCCTCTCCAAGCCAGTGGCACCTGGAGTCACGGTGGGAAATGACTTAGAGAAATCCCAGCCTTCGCCCTGCACGGCACAGGCTGACTTTCAGGTGCCACTGCAGTTCATGCTGTCTGAGTCCTGGCCAGGGATTTCTTTTTCGCTCATGGTAAACATCTTCCCTTGTGGTATAACATTGTTTTAAGCCAGCTATGACATAGGTTTGGGTGATGTCATCACTGACACCCATTGCTCCCCTCTCTGTTGGGTCACAGGGTGAGAGGTGGGGGGCCGGGCTGGGTCTCTGCCCAATCCATCAGTGACGAGCAGTGAACCAGAGCTGCCGTTGCCAGCTGATGTCCTGCTCTCCCTACTGCAACTCCCACCAGCAGAAGCTCGTCAAAAAGCTGCAGGCTGAGAAAGCCTTTCAGGAGGAGATTCAGAGTTTTCAGGAGACAATGAAGAGCTTTCGGGAGAAGATCAAGGGCTTTCAGGAAAAAATCAGAGATTTCAAGATGGCCATCCATGCTTCCTGTGAAGAGGAAAAGCCCATCTGGGAGGAGGAAGCTGCCTTTTGGGAGGAAGAAAAGGCTATTCAGGAGGAAGCAGAAGCCTTCTGGAGGGTGTATTGTGACTTCTGGAAGGACTATAATATCCTTCTTTCTGGAAGAAGGATAAGGATTTCTGGAAAGGAGATGAGCTCCTCTGGGAGAAAGACAGGGTCCTTCTGGATGAGGACAGAGTCCTATGGGTAGATGAAGAAGCTCTGGGCTGATGAAACAGCTCTCCTTGAAGAGGAGAGAGCTCTCTGGGAAGATGAGGAGGCCCTCCAGGAAGGTGAAAAAAAACCTCAAGGAGTATGAAAGGTTGACCTGGGAAGAGGCCTTTGGTCCTGAGAGAGAGGCTATCTCTCAGGGATGCCACTGTCCACAGGGGAAAAGCATGAATTGTTCTGCTAGGCTCAGAAACATGTGGAAAGCCACGTACACTGATGTGGATACTTTATTTAAGCAGTGCTGCGCTTCAGCCAGTTCTCTGAAATAACAGCTCTAGTTCTTGGAGTAAATCAGAGTAGGGTTTTTTAATGCGATTTGCTTTAAAGCCATTGCACTTAGGTTTTCAGGACATTATTTATTCTTTTGAGGTCCTGTAGCCTGAGGAATGGGGTAAACCTCTGATTTCCTGGCCTGTCACCAGGAGGCATGTGGGTGGGTAAAGCCACAAGAAGGTGAGGGCTTAATGGCTGAGATCATCTTCTGGAGCTCAGAACAACTCACCTAACTCAGTGCAGTTTATATCAACTGAGTCAGTGCCAAAATAAGGCAATGATAAATTATAACCTTCAGATCCCCCATATTTAAGAGTCATAGTTAACACTCCCGAGTCTTAATGAGACAACTCATGCTGTTCCACCAGGTTTGGGCTTTGACTTCCCATTTAACTTCCCGCTGCTCTCAGGAGCGTGACGGGAACATTTACCCGCTCGGGTGAGCCCCCTGCATCCACTGTCTGGCTGAGAGCAGCTTTGGCATCAGCCTTGCTGACATGGGCAGAGGACGGGGAGGGGAGTGGGAGGGATTACAGAAGTCAGCAGCATGTGGGAAAAGATACAAGCTGGAGGGAAAGTTGGCAGCAAGTCCCTCAGCAAGGGGGAAATACATTTAGCAGTGTGAGTATATATGTGTGTGTGTAAGAGCAGGAGAGGGTGCACCCGGGGACTGGGAATATTATTCACCCGCTGAGCTCCTATTGCCTCTAATAGAAAATCCTCGATAACTGCAGTGCAACACGTGGTCAATATTTAGCAATATTTTATGTGGCGTGAGTACAGAGCCAGTGCCTTCTGCTGAGCTGTGGCACAGGAATTGCAGTTTTTCTTTCCTCTTGCGGAACTGAACACAGATGCTTCACGTTTTCGAAGGCTGAGCTGTAAAGGCTGGTCTATAGGCAAATCTACATTTGACCCTCTGTACATCCAGGACCGTGGGGGACAAGAGCAACAGTGAAAAGTACTGATCTGAGTCAAACCAGCTATTGAATTTTTCTCTGGTACGGTAGCATTAGTAACTCATTCTCCTTCGATACGGGATTTTAACACTGAAAAGGCTCAAGAACACAATGTAAGAAGCCTTTACAATTGCTGTTGAAGAATCTGATGACTTCTGCAACTGTCAGGCATACTTAGGCTGTCACTCAAGCCTGTCACTCAAGTTCAGTCCTTTGTGATCTGCTGTAGGATAAGGCTGCCTGTCCTGTTTAGTTTTGCTCAAGAGAAATTATGCACTATGTCTTTCCTGAAAAATGCATGAATATTTATTGATCAATGAATAACCAGCCCATAAAAAAAGCCAGCTGATTCAGCCAGGGTAGGAATGTTTTGCAACCTTTCTTCTTATTATTCTATTATTACCATGTAAGCCAGAGATGAAAATGACCTATTAGGCCATTCAGTGCAACTTCCCGCAAATTCAGGACTCTTACGCATTAGAGCTTTATCATTAGATGCTATAGAGAAAAAGAACCTTTCAGAAAATAACAGGATGCAAAAAGCACTTGTCACTTAATATATTTTAATGTCAAAAAGCCAAGAATTTATCTCAGTTATTCAAATCCACACGTCAAATTAACATCCATTTAAACTAAAATTAGGTATGCTTTCTCTTGTAAAGAACTTGAAGCACATGAAATGCTCTTAGGAGAACTCCTAGTCACTTCTTCTTTCACAGGAGAGCAGAACAGTGTTTCTCTGGTGAGAGTGCTATCAGCATAATACAACAGTTGTGAAATTTAAGGCATTATACAATGCAGCAGAGAGGAGCCAGAAGTTTAGCCAGAGAAAAGCATGTACCAATATGGTTTTAGACTGCTGGTAGCTCCCCTGAAAATACTGCATCCACCTGGTAGCTTCAGAGCGGCCCTTGCTCGGGTGGCATTGCTGGAGAGAGACCACATGCAAAAGGCTTACTGGGGCTGGGTATTTGAAGTGGGAATTTAGAGGGTACCTGCTCTGCATCCAGCAGCTCTGGACTGAGGATGAATTTCAGTCACGAAGCCGGTCTCTGCTAACTCTCTGGAGTGGTAAAGTAACGAGGGGAACAAATAAAATAACTACTATAAGGAAAAGCTCGGTTACATTTATCACCTCTGCAACATGCATGTGGAGGCTTTCGAGACGGGAAATTCAGAGTGAAAAAATACATAAATACACCTCTCTTGGAAGAGCAAGTCTGCTGATCTGGCATAGGTTGGCTGTAGGGACCAGGAAAGAATTGGGCGTGTCTGAAGAACTGCAGATGTTTGAAGCATGGACTCACCTGAAGTAGAGTGGAAGGACCTAAAGAAGCTGCCAAGCCCACCTGTGCCTCAAAAGCAGCCATACCTGTAACGCTCTGTGCAAACACTTCTCTAAGCTGTTTTGCTTGTTTAATTCCCAGCACTAGCTGTTGCAGAACCATCACTTTCTCTCTAGGGCTTTACTTATATTAATTTTTTCGTGGTGTCTGAGGTGAATCTCCCTAATTGCAGTTTTGACTTATCTGTAGTCCTATCCACAGTGGACATGGGGAACAGCCCTTCCATTTGCCTTATATTTATCTGTCTGAAGCCCGGTATTGTCTTCTCTACCCAAGTCTTCCTAGACTAACCCACCCCATCTCCTTCTGGCCTCCTTCACTGACCAAGTGCTTTAAGTATCTGGAAGGCTTCTGTCCTCCCTTCTGGCCCTCCCTCCAAAAGACTGAAAAATCGAGATAATTTGCAGCATCCAGATACAAGCCCTGAAGATGCTGGAAGTTCATGTCGCAGTGCTTGTTTTGCAGAAGAGATTCAGCCAGGAGTGACGCAGCTGAGCCCTTCGGACACCAAACATCAGTGCCGAGCTGCACTGGTGCCGGTGGGTCATTCTGCAGAGCGATGCCACCGCAACAAGCCCTGTCCTGCGCCCCGGGGTATCTCAGCCCCGTGTGAACGGAGAGCAAACCTGGGACTTACTCAGTGGCACAGAGTCAGGCAGAACAGGCGCCGATGTGACTTTAGACCATAATCAAACTTCCTGTGGTTGCTGTTCAAGCAAAGAGACATTAAAGATAAAAGTGGAACAATTAGTGTAATTTCAGAGTAAACACAGGGATAAAACCCAAATACAAGGACACATAGTGAACCCGAACGAGCATTATATGTTGGTGGTACAATTAATTTAAAGTCAATGAGCTGTGTGCACTCAGGAAAGTTTTGAAGGCTTAGCAAGTCCTGCACGGAGCGATCTGACAACGGGACGCAGAAATTTGACAGACTGGCTGGGCCGCATGCCCGGAGCTCACCTGCTTTCTGGTGCAGGCAATGCACTTCTTGCTCTCCTTCCCTGGACAAAAATATGGAAATATTATGGAAAATATTATAGAAAATATGTGTCGGGGCAGAAGGGTCCCACTCTAACCACACTGAAAGGCAGCCCTGGCCTCAGTCACAAGCCAGTGAAGATGCTGATAAATCTGATTTTCATATTTCTAGGTGATACTCAGGAGTCTTTTCTTTCAGTTTCTGCTCAAGCGATTCACAGCAGGCTATTTTCTGCTCAAGACCACAACAAAGGTGGAAATTACAGACTGCAGCTTTGTACCTCTAAAAACACAGAACATCCCAAAGCCCAAAGTTGGAAATTACAGCTATATATACACACACATATACACATCCCTCTTATAGAGGGATGACAAGAATTCCTGCACAGAGCAATAAAGAGATTGAGTCATTAGTGCCAAATCAGCATAAATATTTGAATGGGAGAAAGAAATAGCTCCTGAGCTCACCTGCACATTTTTAAAATGCAGCATTGTCATCAGAAAGCATTCCTGACGCAGCTGTGGAGCTAACTCATGGGAGAGGCAGAACATGGAAAATGGTAGTCATTTAAGTCAACTGACATGTCTACATGTGTCATACACCGGAACGGTGAGAGTGACAGAAGCAAATTAAATTTATTCAGTGTATGTATATGTGTGTGTGTGTATATAGCTATAATTTCCAACTCTGAGTGTCAGTCATTGCATAGGAGGAATGCAAAAAAGCTGGGAGGCAGGCCTGTGACTCATGGGAAACTGGAGGTATGGAGAGCATCCAGCCACAAATATAAATCCTGCTGCTGTTCTGCCAGGAAGTCTGGCTGAATTGTTGAAAAGTCAGCGCAGAGGGTGCCACGGAAATTGAAGGAGAAGGTAGAATACTGTGGCTGAAAATATCAGATGGGGAAAAAATAACCACACTTTCGTCCTTTAGAAATTAATATCTAACGTGGGTTAAAGAAGAGAGGAACCATGAAGAAACCGTATTTTTAAAACAATTCTATAATGCTGAAAATTTCTCTGTTTCTCCCTTTTTCTCTCTGTCTCTCCCCTCTTTTCTTCTTTTTTTAATCTTCTTTTATTTATTGATTGAACGAGGAGCATGATCTGCAGAGAGGGAGAGAATTCCAGATTCTTGACATTTGGGGATTTTTAGGAAGGTTTTGGTCCTGATCCAGCAATTCACTCAGTCTATGCGGTCCCTCAGAGTTCCTGAAATGTTCCAAAGTCCCACGTAAATACGTATGTAGAATTAAAACTGGGATTCTGCTGTCGCTGGTTCACAGGCGATATGAGAAGCGGGCAAGGGGAGGACTCAGAGGTGGTGGTGAATTTGAGCACAAGCATACATGCTTGGTGATGTGGGCTTTTATCAAAGTAAAAGACAATTCAGATTTGTACCTGGGATCCTCAGAAACCACGGTGGCAGCCCTGGAGCTGTAAAGATAAACACAGCTTGTATCTTGGATCTTCAGTTTGCAATACATGAGACAGAACCACCGAGCAAGCAACCAGCTTCCCTTGGCTGCAAATTGTCCTCTTCTTATTTGTGATTTTTGTCTGTGCGCTGGTGTGTGTGTGTGTACACGTAGGCACACACGGAGAGAGAAAAAGTGGCGGGGAACCAGTCAGTGTGTGCGGTGCAGGCAAAACACTATGCCCCTGCCTCAGTCATCCCCCTGCACTGCCCCTGCTATTAGAAGTGTC